CAATGTTCTATTTTGGCCACCAGATTTAGTTTCAGAACTGGGTGTCAAACTCAGCAGCCCCGCAGAGTTTAGTTCCAACCCTGCTCCAACACACATACCATGTAGTTTTCAAATAAGCCTGAAGGACTTGATTATCTGGATCAGGTGCATTTAAAGGGATAGTTCACCCAAAAATGAAAAATGTGATGTTTATCTGCTTACCCCCAGGGCATCCAAGATGTAGGTGACTTTGTTTCTTCAGTAGAACACATATGATGATTTTTAACTTTAACCGTTGCAGTCTATCAGTCGTATAATGCATGGCAATGGTAACAAAATCTATGAGAGTAAAAAAAAACATGCACAGACAAATCCAAATTAAACCCTGCGGCTCGTGACGACACATTGATGTCCTAAGACACGAAACGATCGGTTTGTGCCAGAAACCGAACAGTATTTATATAATTTTTTACCTCTAATACACCACTATGTTCAACTGTCTTTGAGTGCGCGCAGGCATCCGGTGCGCGAGGTGTGTACGCGCTCTGGTGTAGTTTACGCAAGCGCCGGAAGTGATCTCTCGTGCGTATACGTCACTCATTGTTTACACAGTGCACAGTCATTGTAGGTACGACGGCTAATCAAAATGGTACTTACTTGCGCTTATCCGGATTGTTCAAACCGACTTAAAACTAAAAGATTTCATTCTCTCGCGCGAACTCATTCGGGAGTGGTTACTTTCCACATATTCCCAACTTCTGAGCCTGCTCGCCTGAAGTTATGGTTGATTGCTCTTCGGCTGGATATCAACACACCCATTAACGTAAACTACGCCAGAGCGCGTACACACCTCACGCACCGGATGCCGTGCGCGCGCCCAAAGACAGTTGGATATAGTGGTGTATTAGAGGTAAAAAATGATATAAAACTGTTCGGTTTCTGGCACAAACCGATCGTTTTGTGTCTTAGGGCATCAATGTGTCGTCACGAGCCGCAGGGTTTAATTTGGATTTGTCTGTGCATGTTTTTTTTACTCTCATAGATTTTGTTACCATTGCCATGCATTATACGACTGATAGACTGCAATGGTTAAAGTTAAAAATCATCATTTGTGTTCTACTGAAGAAACAAAGTCACCTACATCTTGGATGCCCTGGGGGTAAGCAGATAAAAATCACATTTTAATTTTTGGGTGAACTATCCCTTTAAGTAGGATTGAAGCTAAACTCTGCAGGGCTGTGGCCCTCCAGGAACTGAGTTTGACACCCCTGTTTTAGAATAAAAGCATATATAAAATGCATGGTCCAGATCTTTCAACCTTTTTCTCCACAGGCCATGAAAAAGATTTACAAAGCCTGCCTAAAGTACCCGGAGTGGAAACGGAAACACGAGCCCAATCTGAAGCCGTGGAGGTACCCGGAGCAGAACATGCTACCCTGCATCAATGTAGCTGACCTGACAGTGCAGAGAGCAGATTCTCTGGAGAACATCGACGAGAGCAGTGTGAGTGAGGAGAAAGCCCAGCACCACAGCGATGATGATGAGACCTAAGATAACTCACACTGACACTCCTGTGTTCTGTGTGTATGCGAAAGCGACTGTGTGTCATTCTCAGACGAGGATGCTTCCCTTACATTCATCCTGTAAATCATACATTCTTTGGATTGAACAAAATAACATTATATTGTTTTGCAGAGATTTAAAGACCTCCATTCTATGTCCGTACTCTGAGGAAGGGTCTGGTTGTATTAGATGTGTTTAACTGATACGTTTTATAGTGTATGGTCAAATAATTCAGTGTAAAATGACATAAACAGTGTCAGTAAGTACTTTGGAAGTGTAATAACTTTATTGCTCAACGTTTCCAGCGCACAATGCAGATGTGTCGTATTATTGTGACCCATGTAACTTTATTAAATTACTTAAATGGCGCACAACTCATTCTGTCATTCTGTCAAGCAGTCATAAAACACCATCTTTTAGCCCCATATTCTGAGGTGAAGATTTCCTGTGTGAGGTTGCAGATTGCAAGGACTTCTGCCCTTTTTTCCTTAAAGTGACAAAGATCTGTGTATTTCACTGCCTTCAAAAGACCTCAGGAGCTGTAAAAATCAGTTCTGTGTAGTACGTTTGGATCTGTCTGTGTGCTTTTGACTTGCTGGCATTTTTCTCAATGTCTTAAAGCAGCACTATGTAACTTTTGGCGCTCTAGCGGTTAATAAACAGAACTGCACACATCCCGCGGAAGAACATTCCAACCGGAGCTACTTCTCTAAGTTTATGTCTATGGCGATTCACGCAGGTATGTGTTACTCCGCAGCGGTGACGACCCGACCAGGCTACAATAGTCCAAATATAAGTACTTATTATAAGTGTACCGTAGTGATTCGGAATAAGACAAAAACGCGGTTTGGAAGATGAATTCATGATGTACTCGCTCATTATATACATTTTGCAAATTTTGAACACAGAAAAAGTTACATAGGCCTAGTGCTGCTTTAAAAATAAAAAGTTTGGTCTTGTATTTCTAAAACTAGCTTTTTGGAAGTATTTATTTGTATATCACTTACGAAACAAAAATATGAATATACTGGTCAAATATAATGCAATGTATTAAATAATACAATCCATATATAGGAAACTAGTGTTTATATTGTTCAATATATTGCAATATATACATGGAACATGTATGGTTATATATTGAAACATTAAAGAAATATAACAACGAAAATACATTTGTACATGTAATAGCTTTATTGAAACACTTAATTAATTCATTTCTCTTTCATTAGTTAACATAATATAAAGGTTTACACAAAGCTGAACACATATTCATTAACTTTTATTTCACTTTATTGTTTGTATAGTTACACATTTCATATAAAATATACGTATATGTGATGTTTATCAGAAAAAAAGTGTTTACTGAAAACATTAAAATTGTAAGATATTTTGACTGTTGGATGTCTCGTTAAAGTCATGACAAAATGGTTATAACTAATATATATTACAATACTGTATATATTTTCGTGTATGTTCACGTTTGTGTAATATCTATTTTCATGTATGTGCAATATTGTGTACATATATTGCACATACATATTCCCATATAAATGTGAACATATATAGTACATAGTATATGTTCAAATATATTTATAATCACACAGTACCATATTTTATCACATGTACATTTATATATTATTAAATGTTTTATTGAATATAAAATTAGATAAAAATATAAATATATTGTCACATCTTTTCCAATATAGTACTAAAAGCGGCAATTCCTTATTATTCAATATATTGTTATACATTAACACAACATTCTGTACATAAAATCATTACATATTTTGAAGTAAATATATTTTCTTAATGTAAGGGTAAACAATGTAAAAAAGAATAATAATAAAATTAAAAATCAGTACTCAGCATTTGTATTCAACAATGTTGAGGAAAATTCTATTTTGTATTTTTTATTTATGAATACCATTTAGAAACTTTTGTACATCTCAGCCTTAAAGGGGTCATATGATGTTGCTAAAAAGAACATTATTTTGTGTATTTGGTGTAATGAAATGTGTTTATGCAGTTTAAAGTAAAAAAACACATTATTTTCCACATACTGTACATTATTGTTTCTCCTCTATGCCACGCCTTTCTGAAACGCGTCGATTTTTACAAAGCTCATCGGTCTGAAAAGCGAGGTGTGCTGTGATTGGCCAGCTAGTCAGTGTGTTGTGATTGGCCGAATACCTCAAGCGTGTGACGGAAATGTTACGCCCCTTACCATATTGTGATACCGTGTCCCGGCTGGAGCCATGAGACAAAAACATTAAAACCCATTATAAACGAGGGATTTTTTGCATCCAGTGGGGACATAATTACGGATTATAATGACTTATACTGTCTTTTTACGCGTTGCGTTGCATCGCGCCACATAAACATAAAACCATGTCTGCATTTGGGTTGAACTGTGTTGTTTGAGTAGAAATGCTTTCCTCTTTCTTTTGGCATTGAGGAAAGTTTATTCACAACGGTATCCTTTTTCTTTATCCATAAATGTACAGCTGGGGACCACTCCTCAAAACCTCTATTGTCTCAGACACTTCCTGCTTCCCATTTGAAACAGTTCCTGCCTACATCAATCAGATTGGGCTGTAAGGGAGAAAAGTTAACTCCATAAGTGAACCCTCCGGCTTTCTCTCACAACAAAGTCCTATTGCTTTTGCAACACAGATCAAGCCTTTCTTAACATCATCTTCATTTTGAACCTAAAAACCCACACTTATAAACACCCCCTTTGAACTTACCAGAATACTCATGACTTCACTTAATATGACAGTATAACATTTCACTGTAGGATTTGCAGAATGCTGGAAACATTTGTATACACAAGATAGCTGAAACTAGCATTTATAGAGGCCATTTTATTCTAAAAATTTTTTTAAATGACCTTTCCATCACAGAGTGCTGTAAAACACAAACCACTACTGTAAAGACTTTGTGGTGAAAATATTAATAACTTTAAGAAAACAAAAATGACAAAACTAAAAATTAGCCTACATAATCAAATAACCTATTGGGAGTTTCATTTTCCAGAAGGGTTGCAACAAATGCCTGGTTTGTAATGGGTTTTAATGTTTTTGGCTCGTCGCTCCGGCCGGGACACGCCATCAACAGTATGTGAGGGGCATAACATTTCCGTCTCACGCTTGAGGTATTCGGCCAATCACAACGCACTGGATAGCTGGCCAACCACAGCACACCTCGCTTTTTCCTATGAGCTTTGTAAAAATCGACACATTTAAAAAAGGCGGGACATAGAGGAGAAACAATAATGTACAGTATGTGGAAAATAATGTGTTTTTTGAACTTTAAACCGCATAAACACATTTCATTACACCAAATACACCAAATAATGTTCTTTTTAGCAGCATCATATGACCCCTTTAAACTGTCGACACGCGTCTCTGTCCCTTTAAGAGGTTAGTTAGTGCTCAGCAGCGAAACCTCCGGCATAACAAACACAACCATCAGCAGCTCAACACTCAAAACTTTCTCCAGCACATCTCACATTACTGGAGTTTAAAACGCCCCGCATCAACACAGCGCGATATAACGGGAATATGTAACGCGAATCAATGACGGTAAGATGCGATTTTTACATTCAAACTGACATTTGATAACATCTAACAAGTCTGTTGGATCTGTAGCGGGCAGTTTGATTCATATCTGAAGGCTGTTCATTGTGTAAAGTTTGATGTTCCATCGGTTATTATTATAGCTCGTTTTTCTTAATACAGTCTTGGTGGTCTAAAATTGTCCCAGACCTTGTGAAAAAGGTAGAAGTGCTGTCAGGTAAAGCTTACTTTTTAGTTAAGGTCGTGAGTTTAACTATGACCCAGCAGAGTGTTGACTGTTCTGAAGGAATTCCATTGATTCTCATGTCAGGATCAGCAGCAGCAGCAGTGCATTGAATCCTCATGCACTGCACGGTAACATATACTGTAAGATTGGCTCTGTGGGGTGTTACTCACTGAGGAATCCGATATCCACAGGCTTTGCACCCCTGAATGTCACAGTTTAGTTTAAACTGATTTAGAAACACTCAGAGCTAATTTGCCAGTTCCTTACAGACACAACAACTGTGGGAGTCACTGGGGAATTTGCAAGAATAACATGCCATTTTGGAGGACTTTTCATTCAGCAAGTTTATGTGCCTGAAGCTCTACAATTATCCCACACTTTTTTGGGAGAAATCATTATTTTTAAAGTAGGCTATACATGCATGTACTTTTAAAATTCTTCTTACACCCCTGTATATGCCATATGTCTAACTGAGCAGATTCCTAAATGCAGATTAAGTTCTCACGACATGGGCGAGTGTATTTGTGATAAATCTTTTGTTGCATAATCTGACCTGTATTTCCCTCGCTGCTCTTCATGACACTTGGAAGATGGGACATATTTTCAGATCTGGCAGAGATTCGACCTTTGGAAAGACCCATGTAAGGGTTTCTGGATGTGGTTTTTAATTTTAAGTTTACAATCTAATCCAGTGTTTTGATTTTGTACGATTATTCTTGAAACATTGCAGACATTTTAGTTAATCTATTTATTCTGATTCTGCAGCTCTGCTCATATCCTATATAGTTTTATTTTATTTTAGAGGTTTATAACAGAAACACTCTTGCTACATAATATAATATAATATAATATAATATAATATAATATTCAAAAGTTTGGGGTTGTTAGTATTTTTTAAATATAATTCTCTTATGCTCACCAAAACTGCATTTATTTGATAAAAAATACAATAAAAACACTAATGTTATGAAATATTATAACAATTTAAAGCAACTGTTTTCTAATTTAATATATTTTAAAATAAAAATTATTCTTGTAATGGCAAAGCTGAATTTTTTGCATCATTACTCCAGTCCTCAGTGTCACATGATCCTTCAGAAATCTTTCTAATATGATGATTTTAATATGCTTATTATTATTGTCAATGTTGAAAACAGTTGTGCTTCTTAATATTTTTGTGGAAACGGACATAAATTTCAGGATTCTTTAATGAATGTAAATAAAATAAAATATATAATATAATATAATATACAAGTAGAGCAAGCAAAACTAAATTATTTTACCAAATATACTGCAATGCAGGAAACAAAAATAATGCAACAAATTAATAAAATAAACATAGATAATATTACGTAAAAATAAAAAGACAGGAAGTTTTTGTTGAAATGTATGTTTTCACATGTTTTTATGTGTGCATGCATTGGCTGCTTCAATATTTGTGCTTTAGTTTGAATTTTCTCTCTGTTATTAGTGATCTGATGTGGCTTAAATGTGAAAGCGTAGGTTATCTTGCAGCAGTGTAGTTTCAATCCAGTTAGGGAACAGAGATCTCAATATGTGTTTGAGCAAGGGTCCAGCATATTAATACACAAGTGTGTTCTGTCTTCTCAGCTACGCGGCCTCCACCAGTTGTGAACAATGACGTATTGTGTCACACAATAGTGCTTCACTGTTATTTATACACACTCCCCAGCACACTGCATCCCAAAAGCCTCCTTGATTCCTGCGTTTCACAAATTGCTTTTGACTCTACAGCTTCCACTAATTGTTCGTTCTGGTTACCCAGGGATGTTTGAGTAGGATATGAGAGGGAAATATGTTTAGAGATGTTTTTCTCCTTTGGCTCCATCACAACCCACAGAGCAGTGCAATCAACAGGTCATGAAGCATGCTTTTCTATTAATAAAAAAAGCAACAAATAATCATGCAAAAGAATAACAACAGACAAAGAAATAAAAGCATTTAAATAAAGTTACTCATTTAAACGGCGTTCTCACTGTCCTCCCATGAGACTGAATTACATTAGCCGAGGCTTTATTTGATTTATGTGTAAGTCTGTGCCTGTGCCATTTATTGAATGCTGTGCTAATGTCTTCACTTCCTGTTGCATGCACTGCCTACTAGATGTACAGAACCTTCAAAGTTGTGCTGTTTGAATCTCTCGAGAGTATGAAACATCATTTGAAATGCAAATAAGTAATTTTCCTGCTAACAAGTAATTTTCCTGCTGATAAAGATTACTGTTCATGGATTGCTATCCAAGATCATTTAGGGATCATTCTGTCACAGAAGTGTTTTCCTTCCCATTAAGATCTGGGGAACTATAGTTCATTCCATTCCATTACGGTTTGAGATAGTGTTGTTTTTCACATGAATTATATGGATCAACTGGGTGGAATTGAAACACAGCTTTTTAGGTTGTTCCCAAAAAGGGCTCAAAGCATGATTGCCATCACAGTTGTATACTTATGGACTATGCAAAATAAAAAAACTGCAAGCATGAACAACATAAGTAATTGAAAATTCAAAACATGTTTTGCTTGAGTTACTTGATGGACCTGCCCAAAAAGGTTGCGGAAATACTAGATTAAGAGAGCTTAAAGGGTTAGTTCACCCAAAAATGAATCTTCTGTCATCAATCCTTGTGTCATTCCAAACCCAGACGTTCGTTCATTTTTAAAACACCAATTAAGATATGTTTTTAAAGAAACCTGAGAGATTTCTGGCCTTTGAAAGTCCATGCAAACCAAATCTTTGATACAAAAAACATCATAAAAGTAATCTAATATGAATTGAACGGTTTCATTTTAGTCTTCTGATAATAACGATTTATTGCAAGCATGGTTGATCTTCTGTGTTTGTCACATAGTATATGATATGCACTTTGTATTTGCATTGATCAATGTTTGTAAAAGCTTACATTTAATGTTCATAAAGTGATCATGCCTCTTCAGAAGACTTGGATTAAACTGCTCGATTCATATCGGATTACTTTTACAATGTCTTTTTGTACTTTTTGAAGCATGAAAATTTTGGTTGTCTGGACTTTAAATGGATTGGCAAAAATGATGGGAGAATATAAAAAATATTTTCATTTGTTTTTCCAAAGATGAACAAAAGCCTTATTGGTTAGAAATGACATGAGAGTGAGTAAGTGATGATAGAATTTACATTTTTGGGTGAGTGTCCCTTTAAAAATGAAGTATCACAGGAAGGACACTGTAAGCATTGAAAAAGTGTGTATGTGTGTGTGTCCTGTTTTAACAGCTTTTAATTTTTACATTTTAAACAAATTTGTGAATTGCATGCAAAGGAAACAGCCGTACTGTAAGTGAAAAATGTGTGGTAATGTGCACGTTGTTTTCTATAGCTATAGAGTGATTGGTTAGACGTTATGAGCTCATATTAACGCAAGTCTTGTTTACACACTTCATAGCAAGAAAACTTGCATCATCACTGGCTTCATTTGGTAACACGGTTGTGAAAGTTACAGGAAATGTGTAACACACAGCCAGTGTCTCATTGAAATGAGTGGCTCTTTTATAGCGTAAACTCAATGTGATTGCCAATGTCCCTTTGCTCATGAAAGACTTATTCTGTTGCTTTTGGTGTCTAGCATTCCTTTTACATATACAAATGGCTGAAATTCTAGTTGTTTTATGGCGTTTCTTAAAAATCAGAGGAGCTTGTCAAGGTCAGCATGTCAAGGACACAGTTTGTGTGAAAGTACTTTTTAGGTTTTATGTGTGCCACCTCATTCAAATCAGTTTCATCCTATGCAACATTATCAATGTGTCAACCCTTCTTATGGATTCAGATGACTGCGATGATCTCCAGTTCATCTGTGTATCATGCACCGTATCTCTTTTCCTCTAGCGTGGGAGAGAGTAGGAGGGTTTTGTTTGAGGGACAGCTGTATCCTGTGTATTCAGTAGTTCGGAGAAAACCCAGATCGGCCATCAAGATAAATATAGTTGGGGCGGACAGAGCAGAGCAGGGCACAGTTTTCCCAGCAAAATGCATGCTGATTGTTGTTTGAGATGGTAGGCAACTAGGCATCTTGCTCTGCGATTGAAGAGATGTGGAGGATGATTTGAAGATGCTGCTGGAATGAGATGGTTCTGGTGTCCTGCTGGTTCCAGCCACCATCTTTACCTTGTCTAGACCTTCATCTACAAGAACAGACCTGCCTGAGATCTTATCTGCAAGTGTCCCTTCCCCCGGCGAGATCCGGCGCTCATTAGACAAACACAACCCCGTTTGTAGTGCGTCATTCCAATGCGTCTATTACAGCTTTTTCTTATAAGGTTGTAGGGTGTTTGGGATGATTACTTACTTGCCCGCAAGTCATAAAATTATATTGAGATCTCTTTTTTTAGCCATTTTTATCATCAATTAGGCAAAAATCATGTTCGCTCTGTACTTGTACGTTAAAAATAAATGGCCTTTTCTCAACAAGCCGCATGGTTTGAGGTATTGGTAATGTTTATTGCACAAACTGTGCAGGCTAAGTTTAATATTTAGGCTTGTTGGTTTGTGCAAATCCTTAACTCTAAATATAGGCTATAATATTAATAGTAATACAGATAATAAACAGATTTGGTCTGTTGTTGAGTATCAAATCAGTTGTCTAATGCATTGTGTGCTGTAAAATTTAGAAATTGTGGCTTTGATATTTCTTGGCTTCTTTTTTCTTTGCAAAATAGTCCCTGAATTAGCCACAAAATGATAACTGTAGTGCATGGCAGCCATATCACCCTGTAGCCCAAGACTGGTTGCCCACTGAAGCTAAGCAGGGCTGAGCCTGGTCAGTACCTGGATGGTGGTTGCAAACTGAAACAACCACTGGGAGTCTGCATGTCAACCTGATCAAATGTGATGTAAATGCGGTAATGTGGCTGTGTGATGATGTCACTCAAAAATGCGTGAACGTAGCTATTTTGTTAAAGGCAGAGTAAGGGATTTCTGGTAGCCAATGTTTATATTTGAAATCACCAACAAGTTTGTTTTGCGGTTCGGCCCGAATCAGTTTTTAAAGCGTTTTTTTAAAAAAATAACTTACTCTGCCTTTAAGGTGTTGAGAAATTGTACTTTCAGTGAGTTTAGAGAGGCAAATCCACAATTACATGAAGGGAAAGCCATGAATGAATAGAAAGTTCAGTACAGCATTTATTTGAAATAGAAATATTTTGTAACATCATAAATGTCTTTACTGCCACCTTTGATCAGTTAAATACATCCTTTCCTGAATAAAAGTATTCATTTCTTTCAGAGAAAAAAAATTAAACAGTAGTGTAAATGAAATGCTGATTCAGAGCCATTTTGTCATTTTCATGATACAACACGTTTAGACACATAGTCATCACTTTGCTGTGGAAAGTGGATGCAAAGAAGAAAAGACCAATCATAATTCAGTATGCAAACAGATGTAGGAGAGAAGACCAGTTGCAATACAGTCAGCAAATATTACCATGATATCCTCACTACCAGTGACATTTTGAATGCTGAACAAGTCAATAAGAAATTTTCAAACTTTAAAGGGGTCATATATGTAAACATTTACAAAAAGCAAAAACAGGCAGCATACTCAATACTGAAATTATCTACAGAGCAAATCTGAATGGAGTCTGTAGATTAAGGGCTTCAGGCTGAATTCATTGCAGATGTTTTGCCACTGGTTGGCTTGTTTGGCTTCTCGATGACAGTCTTGCTGAAGGGAGTTTTTCTGCATTGCTGCTAGGGGAAAAAGACAACACCCGGACCCGTTTCTCTCCTTTCCTCAGGTCACACTTTATCAGTCCGCCTCACAAGCTTCCTGCCTCCCCCCTCACCGTGGGATCCGGTGAATCAGAGTGGCCGAGCCAAAGGTTAGCATCCAGAGTCCAGACAAAGGAAGACGAGGATATGACTCATCAGCCTTTTTTAACGGCCTTCTAACGTCTGCTTTTCTGCGCAGACTCAGTGTTGTTGAGTGAAACAGACCCTGTTGATATTTTAACACATTTCTGACTTTTTATTGCGATTCATAATTGCAGTGGAGCGATTGTGATCTCTGCCGCAAATAGAAAGTGTGCTCATTACCTCCAATTTGAGATGTCCTTGAGAGAGAACACTGTGCATCCTTTGTGGGTTTGAGATGTACACCCTGTGATGAGCGTTTATCCAATCATCACTCCCACCCGTCAGGCTCCGCCCCTCCTGGAGGTCATGGAATCTAGCGGCTCTCTGTTCCTGGGTTTGGCTGTATGCCACTCGTAGCCTTGAGATTTCTCTTAGGCCACTGTTCTCAAGTGCTGTCGGTCTTTTGGACACGCAGTCAGGAAAGTGTCAGGAATGTTTATAGAAAGCGTTCGCACTGGGTCGCTCCCAAAGTTATGCCATCCCCGCCAAAAGCTTTGCCCCACCCATGTGGTTTTTCTCCCAGGCCCACCCTAGTGGAGTCTTTTTTCTCGGCTATAGTTCCCTCATGTTTTCAACAGCTTTCCTTCAATGAACAGAGGCTTCTAAAAATAGTCAGAAGAAATATGACCGTATTGGCATTCCTTGCATGTACTCCGTTACAGCTTATGATGATTTGTGATACTGTAATATTCTCATTCGTGTCCACTCTGAATGCTCATTTTCAGATGGTACAAAGATTTGTTTTTGTTCGCTCAATGACTGTTTTGTTCCAATTCGGTGGTTTTAAGAGTCATGAATGGGGTCATGCCATCATCTGCAAATGTTAGGGTGATTCAGTCTCAGCTGAAAAATGCTCGCTGTCATAAAAGACCATTAACCTCCCTGCAACTATCAGCCATGTCTTTTGTTTGTCAAATTTAGAGGTCGACATTACTATTTTTGTAAGATTTGTCTTTGCATTTAGGCACAATTCTAGTATAATAATTTAATAAATAAATAAATAAAATTATTATTATTAATATTAAAATGCATAAAGAAATAAATAACTAATAATATTAATAAAATAATTTATTTTGTTATTATTATTATTGTTGTTGTTGATGTTATTTTTTATTGCTAATTGTACAACACATAAAAAAAGCCACAAGCGAAAATTTAGACATTATTATTGTTTATTATTTTTATTATGTAAAAATCCAGTCTAACCTTTATTATTCCTTCTCCATCATTTTTTATTACATTTTAACTGTGCACATGTACACATGTATTTGCATATAAGAAAGAACAGGAACAAGAAAACAAAACACACAAATAAAACTTCTCCATACCTTAATATTCATTACCACCTCTATTTTCTGTTAGCACCTCACTAGCATCACCATGTTTTAAGAATAGTTTGAATGGTCCCTAAATACCATCAAAGATCTTCCGTGTCCCTTAAAATATACGTTTTCTTTTCCATTGACATATTTGTAACCATTTCATTCAGGCAAAGTCATATATTTGGTGCACAAATACATTTGAAATTTAAAGTAATAAGCTGTTTTACTTGCAGGATATACGTTTAGAAATAAACATTTTCTGCACTCTAAAAAATGCTGGGTTAAAAAGGGACAAACCCAGCTATTGGATTGTTTTGACCCAGCGGTTGTTTAATGAATCTCTTTATAAATGAAATAAAGTAAAAGTCACAGTGAAATGTTAACATCAAGGAATCATTTCTTTCACATCTTTCCAAAACTGTTTAACTTCTTTACATTCTCTTATGGTATGATATAGCATGCCTTTAAATCTTAAATGAATATCATGGACATTTTCATTATATTTATGCAGTACAGTTGGAGTTATGGAAGTCCACATTAACCATTTGTATTGAAGCAACTTCAGATGACTGTTCATTGTTTCTAACTGTGTGTTTTTACATACTTCTATTAGTCTTTGTTTGTATAATATAGTGTGTTTTACATATTATATATTTACTGCACTGATGGTAGATCAAATTATTGGTGGATTAAAGTGATAGTTCACACAAACCTATATGAGTTTCTTTCTTCTGTTGAACACAAAATAATAAGGTATTTTGAATAATATTGGTAACCAAACAGTTGACGGTAGCCATTGACCTCCATAGTATGGGAAAAAATTCTATAGAAGTAGATTTGATGTAAATTATGACAGAATTTTCATTCTTGGGTGAATTATCCCTTTAAAGAGGTCTCTTTATTGCAATGAAACCTATTTTCTTTGCTTGTTTTCTCAGATGAAGGACTGGTGTCGTCTTCTACTCTTGGCTGGAATTGCTGCTGTTTTGCATGCAGCCGAATGAGCACCCATGCACACTATGGCAACAATCGGTCCATGCTCAGATGCAGAGGACCTGTTGGCTTCCATCCACCTCGAGAGGTATCTGGACCACTTCCGTCAGGCAGGCTTTCTCCTCGCCCGAGACTTCTGTCATGTGGACAATGTAGCTCTGAACAGGGTGGGAGTCACTGCCACCGGCCACAGGAAGCGTATCCTCAAACTAGTCGAGCACATTCAGCTGATCTGTCAACAGCCCTCGCTAGATCGCTGTAATTCAGACTCTGCTATTCACGAGGTGACCCCTGTCAAAGCGCAGCCTCATTCTCCTTCAAGACGTCCTGGCATCTCCTTAGAAGCCTTACGTAACAGCTCGGCCCCGAATCTTTGTGCACAAGTGAAGCGCTCGTTCTCAGAGCGTAGCACCAGTGTCGTAAAGCCGGTACCAAAACCAAGAACTGTCTTCCACAGACTGAGAGCAGAGAAAATTTCTTTACCAACACAACATGAAGCGCAACCTCGCCTAAAGTCATCTCAGGACTCACTTTTAAAAGTTGCAGAAGGTTTATCCTCCAGTACAGACACTGTTGAAACATCTACTGAATCAAAAAAGGGCCATTGTGAACCAGCTTTGAGTAATACCATTTCGTTCCTAGAGACTAGTGATCCGTTACCTCCAGTGCCCCCCAGGTTAAATCGAGGAATCCCCCCATCCACATTCAGGAGATTGTCAGAGCAGGAGCGTCTGAGCACCCCACCCCTCTGCACCCCTCCTGACTCCCCCTCGAGTTATCAGTGCTCTCCCTTCACTAACACACCCGGTTCACCTCCAAGTCCACCCTGCTCAGGGCTAGAGATGGTCTCCAATGAAATCTACTGTGGCACTTTACCAGGCACTCCACGTGTGTTTTAAATTTCTATTCATCAAAGAATCTTGAAAAATAAAACGTATCACGATTTCCACAAAAAATTTAGCAGCGCAACTGTTTTCAACATTGATAATGATAGGAAATCACGATATTACAATGATTTCTGAAGAGTAATGATGCTGACAGTTCAGCTTTGCATCACAGGAATAAAAGACATTTTACAATAAATTCAAATAATATTTCACAAAACTACTCATTTTACTGTACTTTCTACAAATGCAGCATTGGTCAATTTTGAACCTCAAGTTTTGAACAATAGTGAAATGTGCTAAAAACTTTGCCATCCATCATCAATCTACCATCTCACTTGTGCATATTTGCCTTTTTATGTTATGGTTTGAGAGCTACGCTGGGTAGGAAGATTTCATTAAACTGGTTGGCTTTAGTGTGCTTTACACGCCATGCTGTCATATCGCTAAAGAACACTTGAGTTGGATTTTTAGCACTTAATATTTAATTTTATCTTATGAATTTATGTTATGTTGCAATTTTCTGTTCAACCGGCATAGTATCTGCTGAGGATGAAGATGAAATGATCAACCCGTACTGTGAAACTGTTTTCCACAGCAGGCGACACTATCAACATTCAGAGGTAAGATACTTAAAGTAAAAATTCTCTCTAAAATAAAGTTTGGTCTCACTTATTCCAAGTGTACTCTAATAGGTGCAATTTATTTATGGTTGAATGTTTTTAGGTTGAGAGGACCAAAAGTGAGGAAAAGACTACAAATAATGAAGATAAAAAAAGAGAACATGGGTAAGTCCAAGTATTTCCATTAGTGTTCAACTTGACAGCTTTAACAAAATCCAGCCGAATGTTTGGTTTGCCCACAGAGTTATATCCAGCTGTTAATCACAAAGTGACACCTAAAACAATGGAGTAAAGAGTTGGTGTGTTTACTTGGTTGAGCTCTAGTGTCTTCCAGCCTCATAGAACGTGTGAGTCTAGAGCTTCCAATGTAAGTGTCTGCATCTGTGAGGCAAAGATGGATATTTTTATATAAAAAAAGAGCATTAATGTCTTAAAGGGATACTTCACAAAAAATGAAAATTCTCTCATCATTCACTCGCCCTCACGGCATCCCAGATGTATGTGACTTTCTGTCCTCAGATGAACACAAATTAAGATTTTTAGAAAATAGGGTGACCATACGTGCTCTTTTGCCTAAAATATCCAGGTTTTGGCTTTGTTTTCCTGTTTTCATACTTGCTTTTGTCTAAAAGCAGTGCTGCGCAGACCGATCAGTGTTTGACATTAAAGTACCGTGAGAGCTATAGAGAGCAGATGGCTCCTTATGCTTTCGGATCGCTCTCGCGGTACTTTGATGTCGTACACCGATCGGTCTGCACAGCGCCACTTCAAGTCGAACACACCTATTATGTGAGCGTATTATGTAAGCATCACTTTGACCGTTCTCTGTAGATCCCACCTTCTCACGCGCCACGATTGGTGGATTATTCACAATGCCTGCATGTTATTGGTCAAACTACTTTTCGATCATTACCTTCAGCAAGTATGAAAACAGGAAAACAAAGCCAAAACCAATGTTGTAAAAAGCACGTATGGTCACCCTAAAAAACACTCCATCTCTAGATTGGCAGATATATAATGCAAGTGGATTAAACCCTCAAAGCTGACACCTCAAAATCCATGCAAAATGAACACGATAGTAATCCATACAACCCCAGTCTTATGGATTACACTAATATTTTAAACTTTTTAAACAATAAACTGTTGCTTCCGGCCAGTTGTCATACACAGTTTCACGATAGCTTCGTGAACAGCAGCACGTTGTGAAGTGTGATGCAAGCGCTTCCTGAAGCTTACGCAAGATGTGATGTAGAAGCACTTTCTGATGTTTATACCAAGCGTGAACTCTGTAAAATGTCAGTATTTTGAAATGTTTGTATTTTTCTCACACACCCCTATTGTTTCACTTCAGAAGACATTGTTTCATCCACTGCGATCTATATCTTTCCATATAATAATAATAATATTTTAATTTTTGGAAAATATTTCTTGAACTGTTAATTTGGCTTAATTATGTTATGTTATATTGTATTATATTCATTATATTATATTATTATATTTTTACAATAACTTTTCTTTTTTACCACTGACAATTTTGCTCTGTTTTTAGTGTAAATCTTACAAAATTTTTGTTGATGCTTAAAGGGGTCATATGATGCTGCTAAAAAGAACATTATTTTGTGTATTTGGTGTAATGAAATGTGTTTATGCAGTTTAAAGTTAAAAAAACACATTATTAAAATACCCCAATTTGTTAGTGGGTTAAGAAAAAGATTACAAAACTTACTTAAAAATGCATTTTTGCTTCTTATTATTTAGCTTGTTTTCAGGAGGTTTCCATCTATTTACTGGAACATAAAACTAGGCCTGTCACGATAACAACGTTTTGTTGTGCAATATACTGCCCCAGAAATAATTGCGATAAACAATATTATTGTAATTTTAAGACCATTTTAGGCCACTGAATATATAATCGTAATATAAAAGCAAAATAATGCAAGAAGGCCAACACACTTTCAAATGACAACAAACTTTGAATTCTTAAGAATATTTAGATCATGGAAATTAAGTATCAAAATATTAGATTCCTTAGAAAACTTGAATAAATAGTAAATAAACATTTTCCCCAAAGAAGTTGTATGGAGATTTTTCCATCTACAGATTTTTCCCTGACCTTCTTTTCTCTGTAAATGAAGGGTGCACACTATTGCTGAAAAACACAATCACTACTTAGCAGTCAGATGTCCGTATGTACAAAGGCACAGATCCCTAAACAAGACCATATCTGCAGATTAAACTTTTTTGTAGAAGCATTTTTTAAATCTGAACTAGCACCAACTACACCACATTATGTTTGAGAAGCTGCAAAAGACACTGGTGCAAGTGGAATGCAAAATACATGGTGACATGAATTTTTATGTAAATATAATGGGCAATATATATTGCGTCACCAAAAATTATTGAGGTCATGTACATATATTGTGCGATAAGTCGATATATTGATTATTGCGACAGGCCTACATAAAACAGATTTTTTTCAAGTAGTAATATTACTGTACAGTTTATATTTTTAACTTCCTCCTCCCACAGGCAGCACAATCACTCTTGGCTCAAGCGTCTTGATTCTCCAGGCTACTGCACTGTGGGTGAACCGTCCCCGGCCTCTCCCTCGTTCTCAGACGAGGACCACATCATCTCCCCCTACGCCAGCTTCACCTCGCTGTCCGAGCGGGCGGCACCCATCCTCAGCGGCTGGCTGGACAAGCTTTCTCCTCAAGGGTACGCCCCGTCGGGGCTGCTGCTGCTCTCCTCTCATCTCTGCGTCTCCTGCACGCTCCTCAATGGCTGTTTCTGCTCCCTGTCTGTCCTCTCCGGCCGGTTTGTCATTACTTCACATGTTGTGTCTCCTGCTGTTTGTTCCTGTCCTCTGCTTGACACCTTCCAGTGTCTAGATTCATTTCCTCCTTGAATAATTTCAGACAGCACTATATTAAATGTGACCTTTGTAGTGTAGTTGTTTCTCTCGGATGTCATCTTTGTTCCTCTGTTATAGAAACTACGTGTTCCAGAAACGATATGTGAAGTTTGATGGGAGGAACTTGATGTACTATGCTAGTGAAAAGGTATGATTGCATGTGAACAACTCCAAACAAACATCCTGATGTTTTATGATTGAATGGATCATATCATGCATTTATCACTCATTTCATATCATATCATCAAAAGTTTGGGGTCAGTAAAATTTTTTGAAAGAATTCTCTTATGCTCACCATGGCTACATTTATTTAATCAAAAATGCAGGAAAAACAGTAATATTGTGAAATATTATTGCAGTTTAAAATAACTGTTTTCTATTTGAAGATATTTTTAAAATATGTTTTATTTCTGTGATGCAAAGCTGAATTTTCAGCATCATTACTCCAGTCTTCAGTGTCACATGATCCTTCAGAAATCATTCTAATATGCTGATTTACTGCTCAAGAAACATTTCTCAATATTATCAATAATACCCAAGAACTGCGCAGGTGTGTGGCGGTGACTTATCAGCTCGCTGACTTTTATCATTTAAAATTGTGAATTAGACCAGAAATTCGTCAAAACAGTTTGGTGTGAGAGGTTTTCCCTTTTCCAAATAGTCACTAGCTTGCAAGGGTAATGGCGGTGAGAAGTTTTGGTTGATACAGGTGGTGCTAAGAGTTTCTAAGCTCATTTGAGAGTTCATGTGAGGTCCTCTTGTGCCGTACACTACAGATAAAAGTGGCTCAGAGGCACCGTATCAGGAAGTCTTAGTGGGACAAACAGAATGAATGGTGCGTGGAGAGTGATGTGGTGCCTCTTTTGTTCTGTCTGCCTGCAGGCCAGCATCGAGGTCTCGGCACAATGGTGTCGAAAGTGCAGAGTCTGAAACTAGACACTGAAAAGATCCTTGTATTCCAGTTATCAGGATTCCTGATATCCCCTGTGATTTCACCACAAGGTCTTTTACAAATTAGGCCTTATCTCTGTGTGTTCTAGCTCTTCATAATGCTTGGCAATGATAGAGCCAATGAATTTTGGGCAGCCAGACTTCCTGTGACTGAGGAGCTGGACTGTGACGCCTCCCCAGAGCAGCGGAAAGAGTTTATCACCCACAAATACAGAGAAGGCAGATATCGCCACCCTCATCCCAGTTTTAGCACTCAAGAGGAACTTCTTAAGGTAATGGATAAGCCATTTACACCCACAGGGGACAGATCATGCAAACCAATGGTGACTTGTTTACCAGTCATTAAAATGATTAAGATTATTCATGAATTATTTAAGATTATTTATAGTCTTCAAAATACAGTAGTAAATACAAAAAAATGCTTCAGAAGTGTTGAGCATGGCTCCTTTAACCTCAGATTTTGTTTTAATTTCACTGTTTAATTTTAAACCTCAGTTAAAAAAACCCCCCAAATATCAGGGAATTTTAAAATTGAGTTTTCAGGCCTGGAAAATGTATGTAAGTAAAATAATACAATTAATACAAATACAATTTAATCTGCCCCCAGTGCATGTGTGTATGTATGTGTGTGTATATATATATATATATATATACAATTGCCAATATTATTGCTACTATTACCGTCATTAGTTTTAAATGCATAATAAAATAAAGAATAAATAAGTTATTAATAATAATAATAGCTATTATTATTGTAATTAGTATTACTATTATTGTTATTATTACTACTATTATTATTTTGTTTTTAAATGCACGATAAAAATAAATATAATAATAATAATAATCATCTAAAAATTGAATAATAATATTAATATTACTACTACTACTACTATTACAACTACTACTACTACTACTACTACTAATAAATATTATTATTTAATGTAATTAAAATCTTAAAGTCATGGGTATGGTAAATATAAGTTATTCTCAGTAATGCTCAGTAGTCATGAAAGACCATGGAAAAGTCAAGGGAATTCATTGTTCAAAAAAATATGGAAACTTTATATTCTTGACTGAAGCCTTCGTGTAAACCTTGTGCAGATGTGTATAGGGATTTTGCTTAGAAAATGATGAGGTAATATTGCTCTCAGTTATCTTCAGAGCCACATAACTTCAGCACTTTTGCACAATAAATGCATTTCCCTTTCCTCTTCTGCAACACACTTCATTCTGAAATACCCCGAAAACTTCCTCAAATGAGAAGTGCGGTGCACTATTGCAGCGGACATTTCTCCCTGTAATAGCTTTGCTTCAAAAGAAAACTTTTACTGGGGCAGTGAGGACATCCTGTCTTAATATAGCTAGAGCCATCTAAGTATTATGCCAGCGGTCAAGCCAAGATTAGTGTGTATTATTCTTTCTCAGGACTTTACCAAGGCTATCATTTGTGTATCCAGGCTACCTATGAACCCCCGAATAAGCCGATGGCTGTGTTGTGAATTGAAAATAATTAAGAACGATAATAAAAGGACTGCAATGAATAGAAAGACTTTTGGAAGAAGATTTGAATGTCCGTTGGCTAAATATGCTATTAGCGGTGCATTTGTTGAAGTGTGTATACGTTTGTGTGGGTGTGTGTGGTCACCCTGCAGGCGCTGTGCACCGCTGTGACTGAGCAGAACCTGCTGAAAACGGTCACTCAGATTTTTGCGGAGGCTGAGGCCGCGCGACTCGCTGACGCTAATGGAAACGATAAGCGCGCATCCCCGCATTACTTATACACACAGTCAGCAGGTATGATAGAGTCCGTTCCAGTACTTCCCTGCAGCCATGTTTCTTAAAGTTGAAGATTTAATTTGATAGGCACCATGTCGGAACTGGGAAAAATAAACTCAATCACAGTTCCCTTAAAATTCAACATCTTAAACATGGTGAATAATGTTTGTTTTTGCTACACTCTGTGTTTCTCTGTACTACAACATCAATTACATACTATGCTGGAAATTGTAATATATGTCATCCTTAAGTGAAATACAAGAGGTGTGAAGTATCTTACTGTCATTTTCTGCATTCAGATTCCTGTGTCTATGATGAGATCATGCAGTCCATCCTGTACTCCGGCTACCTCTACAAGTCAAGCTCCTTGAACAAAGGGACATTATCCCGCAGAACCAGAGACGGTAGGCGACTATGTGCCATAAACAAGCCTTGGTAGGGATTTGGGAGCAGAATGTACCTCTTCAGTAAAAATAAAGCTATTCAGTACCATGTAACTACTTCATACTCATCAGCAGTGTTGGGGGTAACGCATTACAAGTAATGCAAGTTATGTAATCAGATTACTTTTTCAAGTAACTAGTAAAGTAACACACTACTTTTAAATTAAGCAAATTAAATTAACAAATAAGTAACACAAGTTACTTTGTTCTCTCATTTATTCACTGACTTCTCTTCTGTCCTCATGTTGAGAGAAATTGAGAGTGAGGTGCAGAGACATTTCCTTTATACCGAGGTTTATTCATTTCGCTTTTGGTGTAAAAGGGCTTTTACAGTTGCCAAAAATTTAACTTTTGCATTTTTTGTTATTAAAAAACAAATAAGCAAGCCCAGCCCAGGTGACAAAAAGTAACGCAAAAATAACACATTACTTTCCATAAAATGTAACTAAGCAATGCAATTCATTGCTTTTTATGGTGTAACGCAGTATTATAATGCATTACTTTTAAAATTAACTGCTCATCAAATTGTGCAAGTATTAAATGAATTGGGTATTTTTACCTAAAAATTGTTACAAAATTAAAATGCATTCAAAAGTTTGGGTTCAGTAAGATTTTTTATAGAAATTTCTATTTAATTAAACAAAAATGCATTCAGTTGATCAAAGGTGACAATAAAAACTTGTATAATGTTATAAAAAGATTTCTATTTCAAATAAATGCTGTTCTTTAAACTTTCTATTCATCAAAGAATCCTGACAAAATGTATCATGGTTTCCACAAAAATATTAAAGGGGTCATATGATGCTTTTTTAAAGATCATTATTTTGTGTATTTGGTGTAACAGAATATGTTGACATGCTTTAATGTTCAAAAAACACATTATTTTTCAAATACTGTACATTATTGTAGGTCCTCTATGCCCCGCCTCTCTCAAACGCTTCGTTTTCTACAAAGCCCCCTCCTTTGCAAATATTTCCACATAGTGAGGTAGATATGTGGGGGCGTGTTAGAACGAGCCGTTTTAGGGGGGCGTGGCAGAGTCTTAACTTTGATAAAGAATATCTCTTTGGTTTTGAGACTTTAGTCTTTGCAACTTCAGGGATCTTATCTATGCACAATCAGCTTGTAACACTCCAAAAAGAAAGGAAAACTTGAAATCGCATCATATGACCCCTTTAAGCAAATGTTTTCAACATTGATAATAATCAGAAATGTTTCTTGAGCAGCAAATCAGGTTATTAGAATGATTTCTGAAGGATCATGTGACACTGAGGACTGGAGTAATGATGCTGAAAATTCAGCTTTGATCACAGGAATAAATGACGTTTTAAAATATATTCAAATAGAAAACAGTTATTTTAAATTATAATAATATTCCACAATATTACTGTTTTTACTGTATTTTTTTTTTTTACCAATAAATGCAGCCTTGGTGAGCATAGGAGACTGTAAAACGGTACATTCAGACGAGTGTAAAACATGACCATCTGATTACCGCTCAGTTCAAAACATCAGTGGTCTTGAACTTTATACTGACATCTGATACGAAACAGCAGTTTTGTTTTATTGTTGTTTTTTTTAATTACCTGTTTGATTTTATTTATTCAGCAGATTTTCAGAAGTACTGGTGTTCGGTGGAGAAGTCTATTCTCTTTTATGAGTCTGACAGATGTCATGAGCCCAGTATGAAGATCGATGTGAAAGACATCATCTGTTTAGGAGTTAGCAGGCCAGACTCCAGCAACAACAGCGGCTTTATTGACAAGTGGGTGTCATTGCATAACAGAACATCCTTTAGGGCATAACCCGATTTAGAGATGTCATAGTATCTTAATCATAACATTATAACAATATGATTCTTTGTTGTTCCTTTCAGATTTCGATACACATTTGAACTTTACCTAACATCTGATAAGCTGATCCAGTTTGGCTTGGAGACTCCAGATGCGTTGCACAGTTGGGCGAGAGCAATAGGGAAGGTAAATATTAATCAGTCAAGCTGTTCTCTATGTACACAGGAAATAGCTTGTCACATCAGTGCATTAGATCTCACCTCGGTTTTTATCTCTGGCAGGCCACCACCCCTCTCAGTTGTCACTGCCTGCTGGCGCGAGAGTTCGAGCGAGTGGGCGTACTGCGCTACAAGGCCATGCTAGACCCGCAGCAGTGGAAAGAAGGCTTCTTTGTTCTGCAGAAGTCCAACCTGTTCATATGCCCTGGAAATGATGGAGCCGCAGAGGATATTATAAACCTGAAACGCCTACAGGAGCTCAGTGAGTCTGTTAGCTCAATCACTGTGAAACTGATACAATATTTCAGAGAAAATAGTGCTGCTAAATTTACCCTCGAGGATTAATAAATGAGCTATGTACTTATCCGTCTTTGTCTTGGGTTAAAAATCAAGGCATTGCATCGGAAACAGAGAACCATGAGAAGAAGGACATCCTGGTTCTTGTTGAGAAAGGAAGGTGGGTCTTTGACTTCTATTAATGTACACGTTTAAGCCAAAATTAAACCTGTTTACTTTCTTAAAGGAATAGCTCTCCCAAAAATGAACATTTGCTTAAAAATACCCTAAGGCCATTCAAGATGCAGTTATTTTCTTCATCTAAACAGATTTGTATAAACGTAGCATTCCATCATTTGCTCACCAGTGGATCCTCTGCAGTGAATGGGTGCCGTCAGAATGAGTCCAAACAGCTGATAAAAACATCACAATAATCCACAAGTAATCCACACCACTCCAGTCCATCAATTGTGAAGCAAAAAACTGTGTGTTTGTTAAACAAATCTACCATTAAGATGTTTTTAACTTCAAACCCTTGCATCCATCCGGCTAGAGTCCATAATTCATAATTCTCCAGTGAAAAAGTCATCTCATCTGCATCCGGAGAGAAATATGCATAGATCAAGCACTGTTTACAAGCGAAAACAGTTTTAAACAAATATGTCAGTGTATTTTCATGTTAGCAGACAACAAAGGATGGACTTTTTCACTGGATGAAGCAATATTATGGATAATGAAGTCATATTTTAACCAGAAGTGATGGGTTAAAGTTAAAACACCTTGATGGTTTTGTTTCTTTTCACTTCACAAGATGTTAACTGATGGACTGGAGTGGTGTGGATTACTTGTGGATTATTGTGATGTTTTTATAAGCTTTTTGGACTCTCATTCTGACGGCACCCATTCACTGCAGCAAGTGATGTAATGCTAAATTTCCCAAATGAAGAAACAAACTCTCATCTACATCTTGGCCCGAGGGTGAGAACATTTTCAACAAATTTTCATTTTTGGGTGAACTATTCCTTTAATACACCTCCATATTCTTATTGCAAATGATTGTATTTCATTACAACAAAGAAAAAGTCCCATTATTCTTTCATCAAAATATAATGACTCTGTCTGCAGGACTCTGCATCTGCAGGGCATGGGCAGGACTGATTTCTCCCTGTGGTACGCAGACATTCAGAAGGCAGCAGGAGGGAAAGGGAACACCCTGAAAGACCAGCAGCTCAGCAGAAATGACATCCCCATCATCGTTGACAGCTGCATTGCCTTTATAACTCAGTATGGTGAGAAGACAGACTTCTCAAATCCATGTGCTTTGAATTGAAGACATTCCACCCTGCCTAAATAATTATTAAATAAATTAACATTGCAGTCCAAATGATCTCTCTTACACAGGTCTAGGCCATGAGGGTATATATAGGAAAAATGGTGCGAAGTCCAGAATCAAGCTTTTGATGGAGGAGTTTCGTAAGGACGCCCGCATTGTGAAACTCCGTATTGGAGATAACTTCATAGAGGACGTGACGGATGTACTGAAAAGGTTCTTTCGGGAGATTGATGATCACATATTTATGGCTGATCTCCACCCCTTCTGGAGGGAAGCTGCCAGTTAGTACAGTATACTTTCTTTGAATGTTTATATGCTGTTTAATTAAAAACTGTGGGTTATTTTTTGCATAATGTCTATGCATCTGTTGCATGCTTACGATTGCAAACAATAGTTTTGATAGAACATATACTACCATTCTAAAGTTTGGAGTTTTTTTTTTTTTTTTTAATGTGAAAGTCTCTTATGCTCACCAAAGCTGCATTTATTTATACAGTAAAATACAGTAAAAACAATAATACTGTGAATAATACTTAGTTTTCTATTTGAATATATTTTAAAATGTAATTTATTCCTGTGATGGTAAAGCTGAATTTACAAATCTTTTGTAACATTATAAAAGTCTTTACTGTTACTTTTGATCAATTGAATGCATCCTCACCTCAAACTTTTGAAATGGTAGTGTAATTTTTGTAAAAACAAACAAAACAAAATACTGTAATATATACAGTATCACAGTCACAACTGGGCAGTCCTGCTAATGAATGTTTAAATTCCATAATTTTCGAAAGTACAGAAATTGCGTTGGTAACACAACCAGATACCTGAAAAAGACAAATTAGACAACTTTATAGGTAAAGCAGCAAACTTTTTTCAATTATTTTTACTGAGGAATTTAAGTGGTTTAACAGTAATACAGTAAGATTCACACTGTACATGTATTATTAAATCTATATAACAAAAAAATGGATTTTACAACCATAAACATGAAGTTTTAAACAACCCCGAATATTTGTATAACTGACAACAAACATACTGGATTTTGGCTAGTTTGAGTAGTCTCAGTGATTTCTCATACTATATGCAGAGATACCTCAAAAGCCCCAGCGTTTGGACCGATACAAAGAGCTGATTCGAGGGTTACCTCGGGTCAACAGAACGACCTTAGCAGCTCTCATCAGTCATCTCTACAGGTGAGTCTTCCTTCGGAATCTGGTTCAGCCACGTCTGGTCTTTGTTCATTTATAGCAGCTCTCACATGGCTTTCTCTTCCTCTCTCTTAGGGTGCAGAAGTGTGCTGATCTCAATCAGATGTGCACTAAGAACCTGTCCCTGCTGTTCGCTCCCAGCCTGTTTCAGACTGATGGGAAAGGGGAACATGAGGTCAAAATCATAGAAGACCTCATCGATAACTACCTGTATATATTTGATGTAAGTGAATAACTTCGTAACATGATATTATAGCAAAAAAGTATGGCGGCACCATGGCGAAGTTGTAATATCAGGTGATGATATGGTAGTACAGTACTTATATATACCATATACCATGGAACAAATTAATGAATTAATTCTGAATACCATGCAAATTTATTCATATAAATAAAAAAAAAAACCTCACTGGTATAAAAATACATAGTACCATTTTTCATTTTGTAACTTTTTTGTGGAATGCAGTTTTGTGTAAATGTGAATAATTTTGATGCTTTTTAAAGGTTTTCTTTTTGTGTTTGGTCAGATTGATGAAGAACATCAAACTCAGATTGAACTGGAAATCAGTTTGATAACCACCTGGAGAGACACACAGGTAGAGTAAAAAAAAAAAAAAAAATATATATATATATATATAGTATTATATTTTAAATATTTTAATATTTTTCATATGTTTCTTCCAGCTCTCACAGGCAGGGGACTTGATTATTGAAGTATATCTAGAAGAAAAGTTACCGGATTGCTGCATCACTCTGAAAGTAAGTGATCATATTTGGAAAGGAAAAAAAAATGGTGTGTATATATATATATATGCAATTTTCTGTATTTCCTACTGAAACACAAAAATGTGTATAGAATAATGTGTATATATATACATCCCTAGGCAGGATTTGATGTCAACATTTATTAGTATACTAGCATATAGATGGCCTCAAAGCTAACATACATGTGAAAAAAAAGCATAAAACTCAAATTGTATTTCATGTTGCTGTTGCACAAGATTGAAACCATCAGTGCAAACTTCTGGTGTGGCTCTCCCACAGGTGTCTCCCACAATGTGTGCTGAGGAGCTGACCAATCAGGTGCTGTATATGAGAAATATTCCTGCGGGGGAAAAAGACGTGTGGATGACCTTTGAGGCCATCGAGGAAGGAGAGCTTGGTAAAAACAAAATGCACCCTTATTCATTCAAACACAATTTCACTTCAGTCACTACTGAAATTAATCAGACACTGCAGTGCAAGCAATGTTTTTTAAGGCCGGGAGAAACAATAGATAAATGCAGGATGTCATTTCTGCAGAGCGACCTCTTCACCCCAAAGAGAAGGTTCTGGAACAAGCGCTACAGTGGTGTAAAATGGCTGATCCCAGCTCAGCATATCTGGTGGTGAAGAAGGTGCCTAGAGGAGAAGCTATTGACATTTTCACAGGTGAAAGCATATTCATTTCATCAGATGAACTGACTTTCAGAAAATATAATGTAGTGTTGAATATTTTAAAGTATTTTAACCCATTTTTCCCTGCAGTTGTACTGCATTGTCACAAAAACATTTTTATAAGTACAAATATTCCATAAATCCCCTCCACTAACTTGAGGTAATAAAATGCACAAAAATTGCAATGCTGTTCAAAAGTTTGAGATTTTTTGTTTGTTTTTGTTGTTGTTTTTGTTTTTAAAGAGGGGAGTTTTTATGCTCTATTCTGCATTCATTTATTAAAAAAATACAGTAATATTGTGAAATATTATTAACGCTTCAGACAACAGTTTTCTATTTATTTTAAAGGGGTCTTATGATGCGATTTCAATTTTTCCTTTCTCTTTGAAGTGTTACAAGCTCTTGGTGCATAAAGAAGATCTGTAAAGTTGCAAAGACTAAAGTCTCAAATCCAAAGAGATATACATTTCTTACATTGAAAGCTGTTGAAATCAGTTATGCTGCTTAATATTTTTGTGGATTTTTTTTTTCTCAGGATTGTTCGATGAATAGTTCAGAAGAACAGCATTTATTTGAAATAGAATTATTTTACCGTCACCTTTTGATGCATCGTATTAATGTATCATTGCTAAATAAAAGTGTTAATTTCTTTAAAAAAAACAAAAAACTCCAAACTTGTGAACAGTAAAGTATACAAGAATTAGAAAAAAAGATAAGAAAGAAAATATAGCATGTCACATTGAATTATTACTACACAGCTATTACTATACATCTCTGAAACCGTATTTTGTCACACGAAAAACACCAACTGTTTACTTTGTTACAAAATTGTACAAAATGATACATCTGTATTGTTGTTGACATTGTATCTGTTGTATCTCTGTGTGTTGTGGGCTGCAGCCTATAAGAGTGAGATAGTGAAGTCTGGAGTGCTGAAGTGTCGGGAAGAGCCGCCCAAGCTCTTGCAAGGAAACAAATTCCAGGAACGATCTTTTCAAATTAAAGACCATAGATTGCTCCTGATGAAGGACAAAAAAGTATGTATACTGTTCATCATCACCTTCTACAGCACGTCAAAGGATTCTGTGTAAATGAGAAGACCGTGAACTGAAAACAAAAACTAAAAGCATCTTTCCTACCTCACAGAGCAACAAACCTGAGAAAGAGTGGCAACTGAAAACCTTGAAGATTTACATGGGGATCAGAAAGAAGTTAAAACCACCAACAAAGTGAGATGCACGTTCCACAATAAGCTTCTTTTCATCAGTGAACTTGATATAACTTTAAATAACAAACATGTTTACTTGCAGATGGGGATTAACAGTGATGCTGGATAAACAGCAATTGTAAGTTTTTAAAATATATATATATACTGTATATATACAGTATGTTATATACTGTACTGTAAGGTCCAGTTCTCACTATTAGCTAGTTGCTTATTAGCATGCATATTACTAGCATATTGGCTGTTTATTAGTACTTATAAAGCACATATTAATGCTTTATTCTGTATGACCATATTCTATAGCCCTTAATCCTAAACTTAACAACTACCTTACTAACTATTAACTAGCAGCAAATAAGGAGTTTGAGGCAAAAGTCATAGTTAATAGTTAGTTATTAATGAAAATTAGTCCCCAAACTGAAGTGTGACCAGAATAATGTGTATTATAGGACATAAATATGAATACATTTAAAAGCATTATATATTACTTTGCAATGCATTGCACAGGCTTTATAGAAAGTGTCTATTTATAGCTACATAGTGAACAATAATCACTCTCCTTGACCTCACAGGTACCTCAGCTGTTCCTGTGAGACTGAATTATGGGACTGGATGACTAATTTACTAAAAGCACAGGTACAGCACATTTTAAATCTGAACGTTTATTGACATTTCAGAGCTGTAAATTAGCATTAACGTCCCCCCTCAGAATGATGATTTGCGCCCACCTGTGATGAGACGGCACTCTTCCTCTGACATTTCCAAGCAGAAGTTTGGCACCATGCCGCTAGTGCCCATCAGAGGAGAGGAGAGCAATACCAACTCCACCATGCTCTCCGCCAATCAGACTCTGGTACAACACAATTGTGTCCTCTAGTGGTTCAGTGCATGTAATGCTCACTTGTTCTTTGCTTTGAGGCTTAACTTGTTGTCTGTGTATTTTTGCAGAGAAAGCTCCACACGAGAAGGGCTCTCTCAATGTTCTTTGTAAGTAATTATTTTTTATCTGCAGATTAATCCAATGCATTTTATATAAGAATTACTTTAAAGGAATAGTTCAACCTAAAATGAAGATTTGCTAAATATTTACTCACCCTCAGGCAATCCAAGATGTAGATGAGTTTGTTTCTTTATCCGAACAGATTTGAAGAAATTTATCATTGCATCACTTGCTCAGCAATGGATCCTCTGCAGTGAATGGGTGCCGTCAGAATGAGAGTCCAAACAGCTGATAAAAACATCACAATAATCCACAAGTAATCCACACCCCTCCAGTTCATCAGTTAACATTTTTACTTCAAATCATTACTAGTCTTCCATCCATGACATTGCGTTCTCCAGTGAAAAAGTCGTCTCGTCTGTATCAGGAGAGAAATATGCACAGATCAAATACAGTTTACGAGCGAAAACGGTTCAAAACAGATCTTGGTGGAATTTGATGTGAGAGGAAAACAGGGATGGACTTGTTCACTGGAGGAAGCATTATCATGGATTATACATTATCATGAATTATAGACTCGTGTTTTGGACTTTCATTCTGACGGCACCCATTCACCGCAGAGGATCCATTGGTGAGCAAGTGCTGTAATGCTAAATTTCTCCAAATCTGTTCAGATGAAGAAACAAACTCATCTACATCTTGGATGGCCTGAGGGTGTGTACATTTTCAGCAAATTTTCATTTTGGGTTAAACTATTCCTTTAATGTTCAGTTTCACACCTTTGCATACAAGTTCTGTTGCCATTTTTTCAACACCATAAGTCACAATTACTCTGATTACAGTGGCTGGTCAAAATGTAAAAGTAGGAGGTTTGGAATGTATCAAATGACTTTTAAGTCTAAAAAGCGCTCCAAAATTTAGGAGTGTGCTTTACAAAAGAGCCTATACTTAATGGAGGAATTCCCTTTGACTTGCTCAGTCCTTCCCCCCATTCCTGTTGGGAACCAGGGTTTCCTGATATGACAGGATGCATTTGGAGGAAGAAAGCTTCTACTGCATTGTTCTGCAACTGTAGCCTTGAGGGAGGGCAGGGAGCTGGCTTGTGTTTTGGGAAAATGCCGCAGCTTCTGGTGTGTCCCGGCCCAAAAGCTTTCGCAAGCAAATTGTCTGCGGGCTTCATGCTTTTGTCCTCAATGTATTTGGCAATTATCTTGATGTTGTCTCTCTGATACTGAGACAAAAGTTTCAACTCAGAAAAGGAAGTCATTTGTTTTGAACATTGTTGAGGGGCGAATCCCTTTCTGTGTATGTCCCGCTAACCACAAATACTTCTTTTGTTTGCATAATGGTAGATCATCTAATCAGGTATCTAGCAGATTAGGTGTTTTCACGAGATAATAGTCACCAGTGTGTTCGGGAACCCGTAACACCCGTATGGTTGAGACGGGTAGTTTTTATTTTCTTTGTTCAGGATACTGATTCGCTTTGGACGTACACATTTGTGTTTGCAAGCTCATATGCTTACTTGTATTTTATAAACCGATAGCTTGATAGGTTGGTCTGATTGGTTGAGCTATACATTCAAAGCTGTTGTAAAATAGCAAATAGTATGTATGCATGTATTTATTTATTACACAATATTTATAACATTTATTGTTGTTAATTTTTTATGTAATTTTAAATGTAATGTAATAGTATATTTCACTATAGCTAATTTTTTGTAGTTAATAAAAAATGTAATGCCATACTACAACAACAACAATAATAATTAATAATAATAAACACATAACACATAGTAATAGTAGTAAAGTATAAAATTATAATTGTTATTATAATGTTCTTATAATAGTGTATTCAATATAATATATTATGACTCATTTATAGTTAATAATGAATTAAGATAATTAAGAGATAATTAATTATTTAATAATAATAACAATAGTAGACAATACAGTTATGTTACTATATTATTATTATTGTGTAATATAAGGTTTATGCAGTAGTATATTCACTATATTATGGCTGATTTCATATATTTATAAAAACATAAATGTCATAAAACAACAACAATATAATAATAATAAGTGTGTGTAATATTATAAGATTTATGTAATAGTATATTCACCATATTATTCTTGTTTCATATAGTTGCATAAAAATGTAATGTCATAAAATAACAACAACAACAATAGTAATAATAATAATAATTATTATTATTGTATACCACAACTATTATTATTAGATTAAAACGCAATATAGTTGTAGTGTACAATAATAATAAATGATTATTGTTATAACTATAACTATCATTATTATTATTATTATTATCAAGGTTCAAATTACGTTATTTGTGATAAGTAAATATGATTATTATCTCTAGATTTATTTATTGAATATCGGGTTCTCTTATCATCACATTGCTGTTGTTTTCATTTAAATTCAGCCTTTGTCAAAACTATTTCAGAACTGTGTTAAAGGGTTAGTTCATCCAAAAATGAAAATTAGGCTGTGTTTTACTCACCCCCGATGCATCCTAGGTGTATATGACTTTCTTCTTTCAGACGAATCCAGTCGGAGTTATATTAAAAATTGTCTTTGATCTTTCAAGCTCTATCGTTGTACTCAGCGGGTGTTGCATTGCTTCTGTCCAAAATACGTGAAATAAAAAGCACCCTTCCATAAAAAAAAAGTATCTCTCACGGCTCCGGGGGGTGAACAAAGGCCTTCTGTTGCGAATTGATGCGTTTTTGTAAGAAAAATATCCATATTCCAAACGTAATAATCACTTGAATCTAGCTTGCGCTCACTGTTGTACACGGAAGCAGCTCCGGGAGCATGACGTATGAGGTCAGCGCTGCGCATGCGCCGGTGGCATCGGGGGTGAGTAAAACACAGCCTAATTTTCATTTTTGGGTGAACTAACCCTTTAAAGTGACTGTAATGGATGGCCTGTCATGTGTTATTGGTTTAAAGACTTCGGCCTGTGCAATTAAGTGTTGTAATTTGAAATCCACTACAGATATCTTTTTGACCTCCTGGTGTGCCTTCCCATTGTCTTTTTTGTTTTTCCTACTCAGCCCATGAAGGTGCAGCAGGACTCGTTTGAGGAGCGCATTGAAAGCTCGGAGCCTTTGTATGAGGAGGTGGGCGACTTCGGTCTGCAGGTGCTCAAATCTTTGGAAACTAGTTTCCTGTCCAGTGCTCACACAGAGACACAGGAGGTGCCAGCACGGCCCGTCAGCCTCGGACAGAGGAAGGCCGTCTCCCTGGATCGCATGGTTGGGTCAAACCCTGTGCACTCTCTCTTATCCTCTGGCGAGTCAATAGACACTCTGGGTCAGGAGGATCCCACAGACTCTCTGCATGTCCCACATAGGCACAGGTCACACAGATCATGCAGCCCCCAGCAGGAACTGCTGTTGCAGGAACTCTCCACGATGTTCTGCAAGAATCCAGAGTCTGAAGAGCAGCATGAGAACCTCACCTGAGCTTAGAGGTGAGGTTAATAATTGCTGTTATTAAATTGCCATGTGTGTCTGTTTGAAATTGGCGAGTAAGAATCCAGTGCCTGGCTGAGGATCAGTCAATCAGAAGTGTCTTCTGGGGAGTTTTGACTTTAAGAGTAATCTTATTATCCATGCTTTTAACTGGACACCTCTGAAGTAACGCTGTCAGGAGATGCCTCTCATTCCTTAAAGATAATCTCTCTCTTTATGTCCAAATCAGTCAAATATTGCTTATATTTGTAGCAATTAATTGTTCCATTTAGGATAAATGAAAAAAAATCTTGATCAAATGATATGGATTTGATTTTGTTTTTGGGAAATGGCTGAGACTCATTAAAAAAGGGTTTGAAGGCCATTTTCCTGCATAGCTAAAAGCTGAAGCTGGGTTTTCATGAAGTTGTAAGACACTGAACCCTTTTATAAGAATACTAACAATTAAATGTCACCAATTTCATGGAAAATACAATCTTTGTGATATTTGAATGTTCCTATAAATCAAACGCTTGACTAAGATTTGGCAATATATGAGGCACTTTCCATGACCTATGTTTTTTTTTTTTTTTTAACCATTCGATGCATGTATTTGTTACAAGAATTAATAGATATGTTAGATACTAAATTATATCAGTAACTCATTTTGGTAACATTTTATTTTAAGGGCCAATTCTCACTATTAACTAGCATGCATATTATAGCATATTGCCTGTTTGTTAGTACTTATAAAGCACATATTAATGCCTTATTCTGCATGACCATACTTTAGATCCTATTAATAAGCAGCAAATTAGAAATTTAGTGAGGCAAAATTTGTAGCTAATAGTTAGTTAATAGTGAGAATTGGACCTTAAAATAAAGCGTGACCTTCATTTTATCAATAACCACAGACCAACATTTGGTCCCAAACTAGCTAACCACTATTGAGTGAGCTTAATTTATGCTTATTTGCAATCCTGTTACCCATTATTTTATTTTATTTTATTTATTTTATTTATTTATTATTTTTTTTTAATTTAATTTAATTTAATTTAATTTTAATTTATTTAATTTAATTTAATTTTTTAAAATAAAACACAATCACAAATCAGTGTTGTAATATTATAGGGTAACTATATTTAAACATGTCCCAAAGTTGGTAAACCTTTTGAGGTTGATAATCAACATTTGTTGTATTTGTGGAAATATTACCTATTATACATATTAAGTTTTGACCATTTTTTCCAGCATTGTTTTCTAATGTTGCCACTTCCAAATCTGACAGAAAAAAAAATGCAGCTGCAAGCTCATTCCCCAAACTGTTGGCAGAACGCACAGATATGTACCAGAAGCTTTTTTTTTTTCAGTGAGCATTCAGCAAGCTCAGAGTGGGAGCTCTTGTTTGAGTTGCTTTGTACATTCGGGGTCTTTTCTAGGGAAGAAGGGACAGCAAAGACAAGCCCCAACAATCGCTTAGGGGATTAAGTTCATTCTCACTGCCAATTCGTCACCTTCCCTGTGCCCTCTGCTAGTGGTCTCAATGTGCTGCAGTGTTTTGTGGTGGCTGATTCACTTCAGTGAACAATTATAAGAAACATCAGCTCCTCCAAAAGCAGGAGGAAAAATATCCTCGGGGTTTTAGTCCTTCATCGAGTACAAGAGGACAAAAAAAAAGCTAAATCATGAAGTTGTATGCAAGCTGCTCGGGCCGCAAGCCGAACAATGTTGGAGTCTAGAAGATCCTTTGTTCCAATGTGTCACTTCTGTACCTTTTTCTGTACAAAAAAGCAGATTATGAGGATTTGTTGTCAATCAAATGCTCATGTGACCAAAAAAATCATGTTAATATGTCTATATCTGCATGAATAAGTCAACCGAGGAAGATCAAATCGTTCATATTTTCAAGTGTTTCTTTCTCTTTTGGCCTGTTGAATCACTTTGAAAGCAAATGTTGAGATGATGGACAGTTGTCGAGTGATGACACGGCTCGGTCTTCTTGCACTGGGCACCCTCTTGTGAGCAAACACTTTTTGTCGAGTCTGTCTGTGTATGAGTACCCCACTCTGAAAGGATTCATTGAGTCCATGGATGAGTAACCTCGGGCCGCTCGCTCTTCAAAAGGATCCTCTAGTGTGTCTTTGAAAGCAGACTCCTTCAGTGTGAATCTGAAGGGCGACTCTACACCCATTTAACAGTGCTTTTGGAGTAAGCCTCACACTCGGGGTGTCTGACCCAATGGAGAGATGGAAGCTACAAAAAGGTGAAGAAACCGCAGGCTTACCGCAGAACGGGATCTCGTTTCAATCTTGAGGACGCGCTGCCTGTTTCCGAGCCCCAGGACAACTGGGTGTAATTGGGAATTTTGTCTGAGTAGCATTTCTTCAAAGACAAGGGAGCCTCTCGGATAACCGCCATTATAATTGTCCTTTGGCCTGGCAATTAGGATTTGAATTGGATGGTCATAAACCAAACCCTTAACACTTGTTTAATATGACCTTGGAGTACAGTCGGACTGATTTCCAGCGATAGTGATCATAACAGCAAAATGGGGTCCATAAGTCTGATGCTTCTATTTTAAAATGTTTCATTACAAATTATGGTAACACTTTACAATAAGGTCCCATTAGTATTAGTTAAGTTTAATTAATGCATTAAGTAACTAAGTAACAATGAGCAATACTTTTTTACACTATTTATACTTTATCTTTGTTAACTTTACATAATAAAAATACAACTGTTAATTGTTGGTTTATTTTACGTCAGGTCCATTAAATAATATTAATAGACACATCTTTGGATTTTAACAATGTATTAGAAAATGCTAGGGCGTAGGCTTGATTTTGACATCCAACTACCCCAACGTTTTTGCATTTATGATAGACATTTGACCACATTTTCATGTCATCGAAAGTCTTTATTTATAGCAAGTAGCTAACATATTCATAAAGAGAGCTTTTTTATGTTAGCATATTCATCAGACAATAATTACACAATTTTGATTGTGTTTAACCATCAACATTTTCCTCCAAAGTTGATTCGCGAATCATTTCAGATCGGGACTCCGGACGCGTATAATCTTTAAAGGGGTCATATGATGAAAAATTGAAATCGCATCATATGACCCCTTTAAATTCGGGAAATGATTCGCGAACCCACTCCGAAGTTCCGATCTGAATCAAATGATTCGAGATACTCGATCCGATTGAAGCGCTTCGAATCATTTTGCGACGCAATGGTTTAACTGATTCGGAGTTTCGAAAAGCTCCGTTACACTCATCACTGCGTGCTTTTTAAAGTCATTACAAGCGATGTCGAAATTTGAAAATGAAAGGCTCTTTTGATCTTATTTTTGCTAGTGAATCGAGGTTGAGTTTGAATCAATCGGAGTACTTCCAGTGTTAATGACTCACTCACTTGAAACGGATTGTCTGTTCCTCCGCTTTCTGCGCCTTCAGCCATGTATTCGCGACACTCTCGGTACTACTACAGGCATAACTCGCTAGTTTTATGACATTAACTGAAATAAGCGAAAAACGTATGATGTTTACAAATAAAACAGCCATAAGATAACTGCTTTCCACGTGTAAACGTCCAACACAAATCTACAAACATATTCAGGTGAGGTAACTGCTTTACTGCTGAAATCACTCCATTAAAATGACTATAGCTGCACCCCAAAATACATGTTAGATGGAAACATTGTGCATTATGATCGAGTTTGTAACTTAATTCACAATATTTTAAATAGTTTGACCTCTGCAGTTCAGTTGGAAATTAGTTGAAACTAGTCATCTCATACCATTGAAGCGAATGTTCAATTTATCAGTATATATTGTAATAAATATTTGAGAAATGATTGTTATATCTGAATGTATTAGTCTATAGAGTGATAGTCAATGTAAAAAGGGCAAACGGGAGAAGCAGATGAATACAAAACAGCTAGGGTGAAGGTTTAATTTTGACATTGGTAGGGTCATAACAGCACTCCCCATCCAACTTCCCCAACGTTTTTACATTTATGATAGACTTTTGACCACAGTTTCATATAATCTAAAGTTTATTGCTATTGTAGCCAACATACATTTATAGCTAGCCAGCATAGGCTATTATAATTCATAAAGAGAGCTTTTTATGTTAGCATATTCATCAGACAGTAATTGCACAATTTTGATGATTTAAAACCAACAACATTACAGCAGCATCAGAGCTCTGGGTGTCTTATTTTATTTTGATATTAAAAATGAATTGGACCAGTGATGATTCTGACAGAAAACACAATCTTCACACGCATCTGATTGACAGATAAACCGCACACTCTTATTTCAGTGTTTTATTTTGTGGATATTTCAGCTAACAGTGTGCTTTGTACATTTTACCCATCAAGAGGGTAAACTTTATCATTCAACTGAACTGTGCACGTATGTTTTAAACACTTCGGCTACCATATGTTCTTACTTCATCCATGTATTAAATGTACGGCCTTGAAAACGTGGTTTTCTAGCGTATTTACTTGAACTTCTCCGGTGATATCAATGGTATGACCTGTTTCAGATGCGGCCGAGATTACAACAGTGGTTACATACACATATATTTAATTGTTTGATCAAAATTATTGCTAGGGACAATGTAGTAGTCGCTGGATATTGTGTCCCTACTAAATTCTACACCCTTGAGAAACTGTTGAAATTAAGAGTAATTAAGATTAATAAATGCTTTAGAAGTATTTTTCATTGTTAGTTCATGTTAACTAATAGTAATCAAGTTAACTAATTTCTAAATAAGTTGTTAATTAATGTTAACAAATGGAACCATTGTAAAATGTTACCTAAATTATATTATTAGCATATCAGTTTGAGTGGAAAGTTGAATTAAAACACTTTGATGAATTTCAGAATGTCTTAGTACTGGGTTCTAAAGCTTATATCCTTTTAGCTTTAATGACAGCTGCGTCCGAGCTGAATGAAATCCACAAGTCATGTGTAAAACCAGATGATCACGTTTTCAAATACTAAAGCTTTCTCTTTTTTTGGTCCCAGATTTTGAATGTGGTCTCATGTTTTTGGATCACACACTATAATGG